TGATATACATAGATAAAACATTAAAATGCCACTCTAATCACACTCCAGATAAATCAAGTGTCTGAAGAGGACGGGGAGGAGGAGGGTGGTAAAGTCATCTGACCATGACTCCCTCTGTGACTTTGAGTGCCCGAGTGATTGCTGGGAATGAATGAGAGCGTGATACAGGCAGGAAGAGTGACTAAACACGCTGTTGTCTGGATGGACTTCCACTGAACTGTCCTCCACTCTCTGCCTTCCTCTGTCTGCCGCTTCCTCGCCCATTTCCTCTCTCTGTTGTGCTCCTTCACTCAAACATTCACTGCAGCTCGGTTTGGTGTTTATAGCACTGACTTTTCAAAATCTCCCACTCTCTCATTCTGCAGGTATCTCTGACTCCAGAGCTGCAGCACACAGATCTGACACTACTTTACAAGCATTCTTCTTCCTCTTAATAATAATAATAATTATAACAATAAAGTTCTTGCTCATTATAACTTTTGGGTTTTTATGTTAAGTCTTGGCCTTACCATGCTAAGTGATTTGTATGTTGTATGTTGTGAAACAAATAAAATAGAATTGAGTAGAATCTCATCTCACGTTACCTCCACCTACTCACTCACATGTATTTTAATACCTCAGTGGAACTCGGCCATGTTGTTCCTTAACTTTTCTTGCTTTTCCTCTCTGTCTCCGTCTGCTGACACATTCAGTGTGACCAGAACCACCTTACACAGCTGGGAAGGTGAAGCTGTAAAGACTTTGACACCACACACACAAACACTACACACACTCGAGATTCTCTCATGGGTGAGAACAAACACAAACCAAACCAACCTCTTTCTCTCTCTTGCCCTTATTTTCTCCCTCACACACAAGGAGACATTTCTCTGGGAAAAAACAATGGTGAATCATGTACAGAGCAAACATCCTCAGTAAATTCAAGAAAAACTCTTTGGTGGAAGAAGAGTTCAGATTCTTTAATAGCCACAACATCTCAATGAAAAAAGATATATATTACATTTTTTCTCTGGCTTTTATTGTCCTTAGTTGTTTATTTATTTTTCAGAATCGTATCTTATTTATTTCATTATATTTCAGTTAATGATGTTATTGTTGTACTTATGTGTGTTTTTTTTTACTTGAGCAGCAATTTGATCAACACTGTTTGATTTAAACATGTTTTATGATATATCTGAGGCTAATTCTTAAAAATGCTAAATTGTTGAAAAGTTGACTATATGATCTGCATGTAAATCTAAATATGAAAAGACTAATATTTAGAAAAGACTAGTTTTACAAGACTACAACCAACTGCTCTCAAATAAATGTGGAGTAACAATTGAAAACAATGTTCACCTCTGAAATCTGAAGGATGTGGAAATACTCAAATACATATAATAATATATTAAAATCCAATGTAAGTTTCATTTATGTAAGTAAATGTTCTTCCACCTTTGAAAATACAAAGCAACAACTAGAAGAAGGCATGATAAATAATGGATCATGTCAGTTCACACTTTCACACCTCCACACTGCCCTCAGCTGGTGAACAGAGGAACCCAATACTGTGAACTCAAATGCAAGTTTCTATTTTTTTCCTTTGTGCTTTCTTGTTGTCAGGGATAATTTCAGATCATCATAAACATGAATAATATGAGATGGATAGATTGTTCATAATATTTGTCTTTCTCTTCATCAGCTGTGAGTATTGTTGCTATAGTGCAGCCAGGGCCCTGTCTGTACAGTGTTACCCTCACTTGCCTCATGCACACACACACACACACACACACACAAACACACACACACACACACACCCACACACACACAGTCACTGAGTAGAGAGGAGCTCTTGTTGACACTGAACAGTCATTATCAGTGTGAGGAAAAGAACAGAGGGAGACAACAGATACTTTCACTGGATCAGTGATTGAGAGACTAAGAAGAAAAAAGAAAAAGTTGAGGCACACTGAGTGTTTCAGGAGCGAAGTTATCTTCGGCCCATTTCCTTCTCCCTTTTCACTTCCTCCTGGATGTGTGCATGTGTGAATAATGGACGTATATAAATGTGTGTATGTGTCAATCACTGACTCATTTCATCCACTTACGCAACAATATGACTTTATTATACAAACCATTACCGCCCTCTGATGAATATGAATATGAATGTTTTATCTCTGCATAATAGACATATTTCCATATCAGATTTTATGATTTTTGTGTATTGGGTCTAATATGTTGGTACTATGTCAAAGTGAAAACACAATTGTCTGGTCATACAGACAAACAATAGTAAACACTGTATATAAAAGCAAATTTAAAGGCAACAAAAATGGCCAAACAAAGGACCTTTAACTTGAATTTTCTAATTGTCCATTTATTTAAATAAGCCTGTTTTACTATTTGGTATATCCTTTTAAATCAACTTATTTTATACATTTTTTGATTATTTTACATTTTACTCACTTGAATACATATGTTGTCTTTTAGTCTCTCTTAGGATTTATTTTGACCCTATTTTATCCTCTTTTTATAAACACTGCTCAAAGAAATCGAGGGGACACTGAATTGCCACAGTATGACACAAGTTAAACTTCAGGGATATCAATCTGTCCATTTAGGAAGCACAAGTGATTGTGAATCAATTTCACCTGCTTTGGTGCAAATTAAAGTGACAACAGGTGCAATGGATAAGCAAAAGCAAGACAAGACCCGAAACAGAATGATTTTACATGTGCTGGCCGCAGCTGCTCTCTCCTTAACCTTCCTGACTGATTCTTCCCTAGTTGTGTGTTCTGCTACAGTCCTTGTCACTTCTGGTAGCACAGTCTTAAGAGCATGGAGGACATACCAGGAGACCGGCCGTTACACAAGCAGAACTGTACAGGGCCGTAGAAGATGTGACCTCCAGCAGGCTACAGGTGTGCAGACTCCATGAGGGAGGCATGAGGGCGTCCTCTAGTGGGACCTGTGCTCATAGTCCAGTACCATACAGCTCAATTGGCATTTGCCAGAGAACACTGGAAGTGGCAGTTTCGTCTTTGGTGCCACGTTCTCTTCACAGATGAGAGCAGGGTCACACTGAGCACACTTGAAAGGCATGAAAGAGTCTAGAGAGGCCGTGGTGAAAGTAACTTTATCCAGCATGACGGTTTAGCGGTGGGTCAGTGATGGTCTGGGGAGGCAGACCCCCATGTCATAGCCAACTGTTCTCTGACTGCTGTTATAAAATCCAGCCCTCAATGGGTTGATGATTTTGGTTTCCATTGACCGATGTTATGTCATTTTGTTCTCAACACATGTTTTTCATCTTGAATAATTTGTTCATTGCATTTTTACTTTCTATTTTTCATCCTTTCAATAATTACATTTTTCATTAGTATAGCTTGTAGCTTGAAATTGAATTAAAATAGCCTACAATAAACATGTCAACAACTAGCTGACTTTGACTTGGTATCATGGTAAAAGACCTGATACCTGGTGCAGAGTGGTGAGTTGCATGAATATCCCTCGATTTAGAGACAAACCATTCACACACATGGGCATTTCAGGAGAACACAGAGGAAGGCTGCAAGGAGAGCATGCACTGCACCACGATGCCACCCGCTGACATAAAATCCTAGAAACATAAAAGCATAGAGACATGAGTTTTCACATACACACACACACACATATAAGTATAGGTCAATATACAATGTAAAATATTTTAAAATCTATGATATACTTTGTTTAATAAAGGCCTGTAGTCAATAATAATACTATGATCTATTGGATTATATGAGGTGTGTTATTTACAGGCCTCATACAGCCCCCCCCTAAAAAGTGTAGTTGCCATTCCACATACGACCAGCAGACAGCAGCATCCTTCCTCTCTTACTATTGCAGCACTGAAAAGGGACAATACCTGAGGAGGCAAAGGTGCATCTGAAGCATCTTATACAGAAACAAATTTCTTAATATGACATAAATAAACTGGTTATGAATAATAAACTAGAAGTAGAGCAGTAGAGCACATTCCTCCACCAGGGCCTAACAATCAAATGAAATTCATGTCACTCACACTTGTAGAAATCAGTCCTCTAAATGTGCTAGATTTTTTCATTAATTTCAAATAATTTCTTGGGAATCTTGTGAAAAATATACAAAGTTAAAGAAAGTGATTAAAAAATTCCTGGATATGCTGCTCTGTATGAATTCGCAAATTCTGCGCCATGTAATGGCCAATGGACCATCCTTGCACCAAGTTTCATGGATATCTGTTTCAGCAGTTTTTATGCAGTCCTGCTGACAAACAAACACACACACAGACGTACAGGGATCAAACACAACTTCCAGGCCAGTGTTGATGAAGCAGGATTAGAAAAACTGCGCCTTTATCTCGTCAAAGAACTAAAAAAGATGACAGCAACGGAATACAGAGATGTTTTGTTCAATATTCAAACTGATTTCCTTTGTGGCCAATAATCTTCACCCATCCATGTGTCTCTTTTATTTCCCACCTCACCCTTTCCTTTACCTCCCACTCCCTTCCCACCTCCACTGACAAGAACTATAAAACACTGAGCAGTTTTTCACTCAGCAGTGAACAGTGGGAGCCAACATGCACCCACCATGTAGCATATGATCACAGCTCAAACCTCCAAATTTATTGGGGAGTTGTAGCTCCTTTCATGTTTTATTGCCATTTCTGTGATGCCATGAGGCTTATTTACAGGAAGCTTAAGGAAAAACTCTGTCTTCCATAGAGGGAAGTTGTGGGAACAGTCACAGTAATGATTATGTTTGCTATTCAGCCAGTTAAACAATAATATACACAACTTAATGAAGCCTCTATTCTAGTCCCACAGAGGGCGCAGTGCAATTCTTCTTGTTGCTTTGCTGTTATGTCATGGGATCTTTTCATCATCATCTGTCTCCAGACTCTCTGCAACACCAATAATCCAGTAATAATCCAAATTACTGTCAGAAGATGGCCGACATCTGTATCCGTTCATGCTGCAGAGTGAGTTAAAACACAGAAATAAAGAATCTGTTTTATTAGCACCACAACTGAAGGGAAAATAAACAGCTTGTGTGGAGGACATGAAAATTCAATAATCAAGTTTTGAGGAAATATTCAAAGTAGATGAAACTGCACATCGCACACACCCACCCTACAGGCTAAGTGTAATGTATGACGGCTGCTCTGAAACAACTACCAGCAGGACCAGCCTGCTGTGCAAGTGAGAAATCTGCAATAACAGTAACACTGGACCCTGATAACATCCATTACTGCCCTGCTGCTTGGAAAGAAAAGGCTGTGCTGAACATCTCCAGTTGTTCAGATATATGCATATATTTGTGTCCGATACACACAGCTTCACACCCACAGCTGTTTTCACACGGCGTTTAGATTCCTTTATTCCTCAGCTATCCATTAATAAACACATCTGTTCTTTTTTCTAACAATAGTAAAACTGATTTGTGAGAATATTTCATGTCCAGCAAATTGTGTTGCTTAAGTTTTCTCAGGCTGCAGCTCCACACTCCACATGCTTAGAGGAGGCACATGGGGAATAAATAAAGCTGCTGCTCTTCGTCCTCTTCCTCCACTCCGCAGTGTCCTCCCATCAGGCAGCAGATTAGACTGACATCTCATTTCTCTGTCATCCATTTGGATACCTGTGTGTGTGTGTGTGAGTGTGTGTGTGAGTGTGTGTTTGAATGTGTGTGTGTGTGTGTGTGTGTGTGTGTGTGTGTGTGTGTGTGTAAATGCATGTTCAGAATCTCGGCTTGTAGTTCAAGTGTATTTTCAAGTGTGTGTACACATGAGGTTCACAGTGTACACGGCGTATTCACAAACACAAGTCTTTCTCTGCGAGTGTCTATCAGAGTTCGTCACGTGACGCCCGAGCGGCAGGAGGCGGCGAGTCTCCGGTGACGCTGTTCTGTGCAACTGAATGGATGCGGCCCTGCTGCGCCGTCTTGCGGTCGTGCTGCCGGTCCCAGTCCGTGGCCACGGCTTCGTCGTCCCAGATGGTGGAGGTCTCTGTGTCGCTGATGTAGCCTGGCTCTCCGGTGTAGTGGGTGGGGTAGATGAGCAGCGGCTCCACGGAGAAGGCCTTCAGGTTCCGTGTCTCAAACTGCAACATGTACTCAGTGCTGCAGAGGATTATGGGGGAGAGGGAAAGTAAAACAAAGAAGTGTTGAAACAGAAAATTAGGATAATTGTCATTTTCCATTACATTTTCAGTACATGAGGGGACTTTTGTGGTTCAAATCTGGCAAAGATATTTAGTGCACGATGGTAGAAATCTTTCCTTGTTAAATTAAAATAGAAGGGATGGATGGATGGATGTGAAATCCTTGTAACAGGCAGCTTCACTCACTGGAAAGAGGTCGACAAGATCTCACTTATTATTTATAAATATTTAAATAGAGATATGATGTCACCAACACAGTTACCAGCCCACCCTGTCTGTCAGTGGTTTACATCACGACTTTACATGATGCCATAACTTCTGACTCATCATATTCACTTAACTGGAAACTTTGGTGTTCATTTAATATCAACAGACAGCGAACTTACAGGATGTCAAATAGAGGAAAAACTCTTCTACTGGAGCCACATTTGTCGTAAAAATATACTTCTATATAATTTCTTTCCCAGATTCACATAAGGTCACTATGACCTTGAGCTCTGATATCATTGTCTACAATGTGTGCATCTGTTGGTTTTCTTCTTCATACATGATAGTAAACTGACAAATATTCACCTGACAAAACAAGCAATACAAATATATCAACTTGAGGTCGAGAATTATTTTGCAATTTTGCATCCCTCAGTTAATCAAGATGGCAGATCAAGTGATTATGATAAAAATAGTCAGTTGCATATCTTATTAAAATTGAAGTCAGTATGAAAGTACCAGTTCTCACCCATTATTTTTCTGTTCCACTCATACCATCAGATCAAACTCACACCTTCATTATGTAAACTACCATCATTTTGTCAGACACTGTGAAGAGCAGTGAACTCCAGCATGTCATCGTCAGCCTGCAGCAGAGCCACTGGGAGGAATGACGGCTGTTTGGCTCGGACACGTCAGCCCGGCGGAGTCACACTCTGCAGAAAGAGGCCAACTCCCCGCCCTCCTAATACCTGTTTGAAGTCTGTTAGCGCTCCATGGGGATGGTGAAAACTTTCCCTTTTATTGGTGCTCCCAGTCGCTGACCTCCCCCAACTCACAAACCCACACACAAACAGCTTCCACACAATGACGCATCCTACTGAGTTTACTTTGATGAGTTTCTTTTGTCTGCTTTAGAGCAGAGAAACTCAAATATAAAGAAAGGAGAGAAGGAAAGGAGCATCTGAGTACTGAGTTAAGGAACATGGCTAAGTATCCTCCTGCCAAAAAGCAAATATAACTGACATAATATCCAGAAATTAAAATATATTTCCTGCCACTTTTCCACATTTGTGTCTACATTTCCACTTTCTCTCATTTTTGAACAAACTCACCTTCTATTTACTACTTACTATTTACCTAGTAATCCATACAATGCACACTGGACACACATATCCATGTATTTATATAGTAACACACACACTTGCACAGTGTCCATCTCCACCCCACCCCCACTCTCCGACCTCTATCAATGGGAATCCTGTCCCCGTTCTCCAACCAGCAGGAAGAGCTGCGCTGGCCCAAATTCCTCAAAGAGAGAGAGAGAGACGGAAGGGGGAGGAGAGGTGGGTGACAGAGGGAGTAGGTGTGCAAAAAATAAAAATGGAGGTCTGTGAAGAAAGATAGAGGGACCTCAAAAGGAGTAAAAAAAGAAAGAGATGAAGTATGAGATAAGAGTGAGGACAAGGTGGGGGCTGACTTGAAGGATAAAAATGGGACGGAGAGAGGAGGTGGAGGATAGCAGGGCACTGCAGGAACCCCTGAGTAAAAGAGAAACAGAAAAGCAGCCATTGTGTGTCCTGTGCAAAGCTCTGTACCCACTGAACCCCGAGAACAATCCATGCCCTGTGTCTGAAGGAGCTCAGAAGACGGCGGAGAAGAGGGGGATGGTGCTGAGTAAGAAAAAACTAAAGAAAAAGGGGCATAATTTAGGGAGGAGAAGGGGTTGAGGATAAGAGGCCAATAAGGAGTATAACTCGGATTTGAATGGGATGGAGGTTGTGGTCTACCACCAGAGCACAAACTAGGAAACTACACAGTGTCCCAGAGTCCAAAAAGTCAAAGGGTACACAAAATGTGAGTTTGTGTCTATGTATAGATAATGACTGTAAAGTAGAAACGTTATATCACATTTCTGCACTGGTTTATTGCCTGCGTCTTTTTTTGTACACATGTACACAGGTTCCATACATACACACATTTCTCCGACCGTGCACTTTAAATTTGGCTTTTCTCTTTTTGCATTTTCATGTTTATTCTAATTGTGGATTACCTGATATATGTTTTTATGCAGGGCCGTGCACCTGCGATCATCTATTTGCGGTACTCTGTAAATATTTGCCCGTTTGTTCATGAACCTGATCGTCTAAAAGTGTCTTTGGGTCCAAACTAGAGAATGTGCATAATGCAGTGAGACTTATTTCTGCAGCTTTGTGGTTTTATGCATTACATAACTTCAGTACAACACATGTGCTTCACTTGTAAGCAGCGCTGTAATTTAAAATAAAAGAGCACTGACTTGGGGTGTTTGTTGAACATGACTGGCAGGAACTCGTCCACAGGCAGCATTCTGGTTAATGGTTGTGCAGCCAATAACTTTTGGGCCCCTTGCTGCGACAGCGCGTAGCCGAGCGTCCAGTAGGAGTAGTCAGCCTTGACCAGGTTGTTTATGCCGTCCACCGACTGCTCCGGCTGCTGCACCTGCATACGCTTACGTCCCACATAGCTGGAGGAGAGACAGAAAGGGTGCGTGGATGAGCCTTCACACAGGTTTGGGGTTTGTGCTAACTTGTGGTGCACTGGGGTGTGTGTGATGCCCGGGCCACACGGGGAGCTTGTGCAGAGCGTGATGGCTGCGCCGCTCATCTGTTGCATCTCACAGAGGCAGTGTGTCTGCTACATGCATTTCTGGTTGACTACTGGATTTCCTTGTAGTCTACATACTCAACTAACTGGCAGGACTGTACAATATTAAGCTGTGAATCTTCTGGTTTTGCATTTAGAATAAAAACCTTGTTGATACAAATAAATGGATTAAGTCAGAAGAAATAATAGAGCGCTTTTATTTTGAAAAAAGATGCAGGAAGTGTTGTAAATGTATGTTTGTGACATATTCGATAGATAGACATTGAAACAGTCTGTTGGGCTGTGAACTGCCTGCAGCATTCACTGAAAATAGTGTGGCCTGAGTGTGAGTGTGTGTAGGTGAGTGCTATTACATGAGGTCCCAGTCCAGCTGGGCTTTTTGGATGTTGTCCATTAAGGCCTGTATCCGTCGTTTAAACCAGGGCTCGAACCGCACGTCGTCCTCTAAAACAAGAACCTTTTCGAGGCCACGCTCTACCACCTGATGGTCACAAACACAAACATTCCCTTTAATATTAAAGTTGAACACCTTTGGCTTTTCATTCCTTCAGTTTGCCAGTTTCCTGGCTAATCCAGCACAGGAGGTTATGTTTTCATTCCTGTAACCAAGATTATGTAAATACTAAAGAATTGATTTCCACAAAATTTAGTAGAAGGATTAGGGGGAAGAACCCATCACATTTTCCTTTTCTGAAACTTTCTTTAAACGTTGCGTTTTTCTCAAAATGTTTGCTGTTTGGATACAGAATAAATTACTTTGGCCCTTCAATGCTTTTTTATAGCTGTCTTAATTTCCTGCCATAGGGGAATACTTATATTTATCTGCCTTGTACATCATATTAGGATATTATATGATATTCAGCACAATATACACTACTATATATGTACTTTGGTTGGTTAAAACTGGTTAAATGTGTCTGTGACAGGACAGTTTCAGTTATTTTTTTCTTTTCTGAGTTAACTCCAGAGCAGTATGCACAGAGCAGGCAAAATCCATTTGGATCAGCAGGTTGGATCTTTGCTGTCACAGGATCCTCAATGTTCAAACTTGTTCAGTGCAAAATCCTTCTTCCCCATGTTGTTCACTGCATTAGAAGTCACTTCGCATCACCTGCTTCCATATAGAGTGATGGCTGAGGAAGCAACCGATCTCCCCTCTGGTCAGGACTCGACCGGAGTAAGGATCCTTGTAGCCTGGCATCATCTCTATCCCCAGGGCCTGCAGCTGGGATGTATTCAGAGCCCTTAGAGAGACAGAGAAGAGGTGGTAATAAGAGGAAGGGACGATTTGATTTATCTCCCCACTAGTCATGCAGCTAGAGTTGTATCATCAGTGTAAAAAAAAGCCTCACAGCAAATCACAGGAAAGTCAAAGCTCGACAAGCTGCAACAAGTAATGCATTCTGCCAGACAAAACAAGGCCAGAAGAAGGATTATGACATTCTCAACAGTGGATTTAAGTAAGATCTGAGAAGGGAAAGTAAGTCAAGATTATTACTACAAACAGCAAATCTCTATTTAGACAGGATGTTTGGATTCATGATGTATAGATTTCAGAATACAGAGGAGATTATCTCAGCCGTGTTTCGGGAGGAAAGAGTAGAAAAATGCCACTGTCGTTGTGCAGAATATACTCAACTTCAAAAGACTTTACCACAGAGAGCGTGAGATTTTTTCTCAGGATTAAATCAGCTCACTGTGCCTGTGACCTACTTGCCATCCACTGCATCTGTCAGCGTCGCCTGTAGACCCAGCGAGGCCATTGTTTTCAACATCCTGGTTCTTCTGTCCAGCCGGCGCTTCAGGTTGATCAGCAAAATCTAAACATTTCGTGCATAGGAAAATGGAGCCATAATCATTTCCTTTCACTTTCCAAAATGTAGAGAACACATGATAGAAAAATAGAGCTGATAGAGTGAGATGAGATAAGATACGACTCAAATAATCCTGAAGGAAATTCTTGTGCCAGACCACATTACAGTAATGCAAAATATAATAAAGTAAAGGGAACAAAACAGAGTATTATAGAGTATAAGTCTAAAAATATTGAAGTGAAAATTAAAATGTATAAGGTGTATTATAAGTAAAAAATATTAAGTGTATACAGAGTAAATGCAGAACTATTGCCTCAGAAATTACAACAGAAATGAAAATAAGATAAGTAAAATAAAACAAGTAAGCTACGTGAGACCGTAAACAGATACTAGACTAAAGTGGCAGTAGGTAGTAATGGTGATTAAGAGGAGTAAGAAATGTGGTATACTGCAAATGATATTGAACAGTAATATTACAAATTAATAGTAATATTGTACATTAATATCAATATTGCACATGAAAAAACTGAGTCATATTGCACAGAGTTGGGATTGTCTCTCTCAGTGTTCAATAATAAAATGAAGCAAACTGGGACAGAAAACATGAGATGTTAATAAACAGTAAACACACAGAGACAGACGTTGCTGAGCTTCTTTTCCTCCAGACAACTCACGTTATCAAAGCCCATCGTGTCCTGCGGCGATGGCGAAGCGTACAGGTGCTCTGAGGGCTCAATGTCGTGTTCAACTGTCGACAGAGAGGGAGGAAGGAGGTGAGAGGTTAAAACAGGATCTGAAAATGACTGAGTTTCTCGTGACATTGGTTTATTTTATATACTATATATATTTAAAATCAGAGAGACAAGCAGTGACAGAGGCCAAAAGCGGAGAGAAAATGAGAGAGGGAGGGGGGGTTGGATAAACAGAAAGAGGAGGTATTGGGGGTGTTGGAGAGACAGTACGGAGGAGGGGGAGGTTTAAGCAGAGAGCAGACAGGATGCAATCACGGAGGGTCGAGGAGGTCAAAAAGACATAGAAACAAATCTGAGAGGTAAAGTCATCAAGGAGTGACTGATAGTAAAGTCTGGACATCTGGGAAGTGTCTGTGTGTGTGTGTGTGTGTGTGTGTGTGTTTGTGTGTGTGTGTTTGTGTGTGTGTGTGTGTGGCGTGTGTGTACTCACTCAACGCTTCCGTCATTGTGTGTGTGAAACTCTCCCTTTCCTCCTCCACACTCTGCTGTGCCTTGAGCGGGACAGGCAGAAAGCCGTAGTGTTCTTTATTACACACATACATCTGCACACCTGGTAATACACAAAAGATTGTTGTTATACATTCAACAAGTCTTAAAACTATGGATACAAAATGGGTGATGCAGTATTAATAATAATATACTAAATAAGTAAGTACATTTGTAAATAAATATATATGTGTAAATTAACCATTAACCAACAAGTTGTTAATTATTTGATTTGTGCTTCAACTTATGACATTTTCTTTTCTAATCAAATATTTGAACTTTATATTTGTCAGGTTTATTTCTTTACTTCAACATAAGACGTCTTATTGTATCATTTAAAGAATAACAGTGAATGCTAACGGTAGCAGACGTAGGGAAAATCAATACAACAACATTGTACAATGATGGAAAAACATTAGCCACCATAAGAAAGTGCCGTGACTGACTTTATTTTTCATGCATTCAACTAAAACTCTGTCAGAAGTCAGATGTTTCCACATAAATATTGTATAATTAAAGTAAATGTAATGCACAATTGTGAGATGGAAGAAACTCTGCCTCTGTGTTTGTGAGTGTTTGCATATCTGTTCGTCTCTGTGTAGAGTTTACTGTTTACTGTTTACTGAGACTTTACTACTGCCAACACCTGCGGTCTTTAAAAGGTTGAAGGTTTAATTATGCTGTTTATTCCCAGTGGATGATGACTCACATCAGACACACTAATAAACAGCCACATGCACAGTCAATCACACACATGGATCATCCTAAATCTGACATGTGCATGAAACAAATAAAAAACCTTCAGTTTTATTCTGCAGCACACACACCATTAAAACCAGATCAGTCTACTAATGACTTGATGGAGTCATTGACTTTGTTAAATTGAAGCAGGCGTGAGATATTCACATCCCTGCTATAAATCTGGCAGTTTGTTGCGAGGTTTCAAACTGACCCGTTTGACGTGCCGAGAAAGCAAACACCATGATATCATCGAACGCCCAGCTGTAATCTGGGTGAGGGGGGTAGAAGGTCAGGTCCCGGCTGGACTCACGACGCAGGTCTACAAGGAAGGTGCTGTGCACCATGGGAACGGCGAAGCAACCGAGTCGCTTCCACTCCCTGATGGGCTGGTAGTCTTGTGTTCGTTTGTAATAACCCTGACAGAGAAGAGGGAGAAGAAGAGCGCAATGCTGAGGTGATAACTCCACGTTACGGATACGTAAGATACGTGAGTTAAAGGCTAAACTGTACCTGTGGAGTGATGCCGCACCAGAAGTTGGAGTAGAGAGAGCGAGACTCTAACATGGGGGCAACCAAGGTCAGGTTCTCGGCCATCATCAGGTTCAGCACACGAGGGTTTGTCAGCAGGTTGTCACTGTCAACGAACTGCGGAGGAGAGAGGGTCTGAGTGTACATCATGGAATGTCGTAATGTAAATCCACAGAGGAGAGCTTTGTGGTTTATCTTTGACAATTAAGTCAATTTTATCTAGTAAAAAGAACATAGATTAAAAACATATCAATAGAAGTGACTTTTTCTTAAATACGAAAAAATTCAGTTAAAAAAATATCTTACTCCTTGTTTATACCTCACTTAGTGGGTAAACCCACTAAAGGCGATTGACTCATTTCTTATTACCAGTAGAGGGGTTTACCTTTCTGTTCTTATTTTTATGATTCATGTTCGACAGCACAAAATAACTCATCAGACACCAGGGAACGGGGAAAACAACAAACAACTGAGGCAAACACCACTGGACACTGGAAAAGGTGCAGTGTCAGTGTCTACACTGCCAAAATTAAGAAGAACTTAGTGTGTTCACAGGCGTGTCATGTCATTACTGCCAATTGGAGCCAATTAAAACCTATTTCTACTGCAGAGTCATTTTCTTACCAGTATATAGTCGGCCCATCGCTCCCGGGCAGCCTTCAGTGCCGCCTGTCTCAGCTTCATCACATGGTTGAACCTCGAGGGAGGCCAGTGCTTCGGACCCCACTCATCTGTGTAGGACCTGATGAAGAAAAAAAAAAGTCACTCAAATAATCATCACCATGTTTTCATGGAAACACTGATTATCAGAACAAATCCAGAAGAAAACCCAAATCGGACCCACCTCGGCTCCTCCATGGGTCTCCACTCCACGTAGTGGTAGACACGCTGGGCTCCTTTCAGCCACTCTCTCAGCATGGCAGTGGTGTTGTCCATATTATGGTCTGATGCCGCCCTGGAACAACCAACACAGACAACAGAGGATGTCACTGAAATGAAGCAGACCACTGACCATGCATCCTGTAACCATACAGCCACGCTTAGTATCCTTAAAACTACCACACAGACAAGGTCTACAGGCCGTACTGCAGCAGCTCAGGTTCAAATCTGGCCCTGCATTTCCTGTCTATACCTCCTATGGTGGCCGAGACACAACACAAGCACATCAAATGAAAACATAAATGTAAAAAGCCACACAACCACAACAGAAGTGAACATTTGTTGACAGTCAAACAAGTTACTTGGTGTATGATGTATGGGTCAAGTAACTGTCATCTGTAAAAACCTGGACGAGCCAGTCTTGCTTTAAATGTGATGCTTGTCGTTTAGCGATGTTACACAACAGGTGATTGTTGGTGCACCTGTACTGAATACCTAAAGTAAACATGCATCACATTCTAAGGGGCGACAGGTTGACCAGGTTTTCAAAATTGACGGCTCACTTGATCGCAGCAAGAAAAAAAGGGACTGCTCATTTCATTGTCAACATCTGTTGTCGCCCACTATCATTGTGATCCTGTTTCCGGGATTGTTTGGCTTTTGCATTCATGTTTTCTGTTAATGTGGTTGTGTGTGACGTCTCGGCCACTGTTATCTCCTCTCTGGCTCACTGTCAAAGAATGGAGGAAAAAAAGTGGCAGAGAAAATTTTAAATGACAAAAAAAGGAACCTCTGGGTAAAATGATGGGATGTGAAGTAGAGTGAAACATTGAGTAGAAAGTTGTGTGAAAGACGCTGCGACACTGAGTCACGACTCTCAGACAGCGAGTAATGGAGGAAGATGCACAGGCTTCTTCCTGATTTGTCTAATTACGCTCTCATGTTAGAACAGGCAGCCTCATTGCTGCAAAGCTTCCTCACTGAGTAACAGCACTGCTTCCCTGCCAGTCTGAAAAGACTGAGCGCTGACAGACATTACTCTGAGGCACAACAAGGAACGCCGAGCTCACAGTAATCCTGCTTTAGAGACATGCTGTCACTCGTGGGTGTGGGACAAGTACGTCTTTCTATGCATCAGGCGCTCGCCCTCAACAATCAAACTAACTCAGGCTGCAGTTGAATATGGAAGCTCAGAAAGCAAACAATTTGACAAAGGTAAACTCACAACACACACACAAACACTCATTACTGTAAGCAAATGATGTCAGTGTAAAATTTAGCACACTTAAGTCACTCCTGTGGTTTGCACTCGGCTTCGCTGTTTTTTCAGAGATTTGCACTTCAGCTCCCAGAGTTTCCTCAGAGAAGACACTGTTCCTACTGTTTGTATGTGTGTGTTTGTGTGTGTGTACACATATATATAAAATTGTGCAACAGAAATGAAAACAGTGAGCAAGCCCTGCATATCACTGTTTGCCTTCACTTCTGTACATTTGAGCATCAGAAAACTGAACATCACCTGTTTCTCCCTCTCTCTGCATTCAAATCAACATTTAGGGAGGAAAGGTCAACAGAATGTGCGGCAGAACCCTATACTTGAATGTGTGCATACAACACACACACGTACACACAGACACACACAGACACACACTTGGCAAGATGGAGTTTTCCACTGCTTGCTGTAATATTCCTTGCTGTGCACTCTCCAAAATCACACCCAATTTTAGCAAAAGGGAGAGATAGAAACACACACTCATAAACAAACACACACACTTGTGTAATGTCCTGATACTTCCAGTAAGTACACGTTCAGCAGAAGATGACAGTGTTGTTGCTCTTCATTTATCCACATTTAGCAATACAGGAACACCTGTTCTCTTTTAAAGACACACACATACAGATGCTCATGAGATCATGCAAACACACAGGCATGCACAGTCTTGATTAGTCAGAAAGAGGCAGAGCGCACTCATGTGTGGAATTCCAATCATCTTCAGTCTGACATAAAAATTCTGCATCTGACATAATCAGCAGCTGGAGGAGATAGAGTGGTCAATACCTTCAAAAGCATGAGTGTGAGTGTTATTGTAATGATATCTTTGTGAACACATTTTGAGCCTAGACCTTACAGAGTGATGCAAGGCAAGGCTAGATTATTTGTATCGCACATTTCAACAACAAGGCAATTCAGAGTGCTTTACCTTAAATACAAAAAGTATCATGACAAATTGTAAAAGCAACATAAGACAATACCAAAAAAGCATTTAAAAAGAAATTAAAAGAGACAAAATAACAGTGCAGAGTAAGTAATTATTTATTTTAATAAAATTTGCTGTGGCAAACCGGAATGTATTCAGAATGGATTTAAAAGAACTAGGATTTGCAGCAGACCTGCAGGTCTCTGGGAGCTTGTTCCACAAATGTGGAGTGTAGAAACTGAATGCTGCTTCTCCATGTTTAGTTTTGACTCTAGGGACAGAAAGCAGACCTGTTCAAGTTGATCTGAGGGGTCTGGATGGTTCATAACGTAGCAGTAAATCAGAAATATATTTGGTCCTTCAGTGATCTATAAAACAACAGCAGGATTTTGAAGATTTAGAAGTGAGGACATTTTGACCGATCCTCTTTAAAGGGCTGTTTAAGCGTTAGTGTTAGGGTTTGGGTATTAATTGATTGTGTGTGTGTGTGTGTGTGTCTTCCTTTCTGTTACCTACTCTTTGTTGCAGTATAAACACTGACCTTGCCAGGACCAGTGGGCCTTGTGGGGACCAAAGTTAAAGATATGGTTTTGGATAGGCTGTTCATAATAAATGGAAGTGCAAACCCGTGTTTTTGTGTGTGTGCATGCCTACACTTGCAGGTGTGTGACAAAACATATAGACGTACATTTTTGTTTCACAGCAGTTGATTGTGATTTACGTCTAACACAAGTGGTGCTTTTAAAAATGAACATGTTTCTTCTTGAGTGTGCGTCAACATCTGTGAACTTATTGGTACATAAATGGCATTTTTATCGTAGGCTGGAAACACACAGAAACACCTGACTCTCTGGTAATGAGCACATCTGCACACACATTTACATCCTTCTTCAACCACTAAACTGCACATCGCCGGGGGGGATATAAATGTGTTCCTGCATGTCATCTCCAAATCACAGACTCAGCTCCAGACGGGGATTTAAAATGAGGGGAATGAAGAACAATGCATGGGACAGCATGTGGGAACTGTACCATGGATTTAGGTTAACTAAATCACACACCTGTGTGTATGTAAGAGACAGCAAGAGCGAGTATGATGAAACAGAGGGTAAAATTCCAGTGGACCTTACTTTATTTTACTACTAAACATAAATTGAAAATGTGTGAAATTGTTCCAAAATGAATAACTGAAATCCTCACATGGCTCATTAAAAACCTACCAACATATAAAGAATGGGGCTGATTCCATTTTACACACAAGGCAATAAAATGATAATGACTCCTTTTGTCCAGCTCACAAAATCAGAAGAAATATTTGTGTATTGTTATGAGCTCTTCTTGGCAGACGTAATCGGTCAGTTAAGGTTGAAGGTTGTCCACCAAAGAGAAGAAAACTTGTGTGTATGTCTTAGAGAAACAAAACGTGGGAACAATTACACCAAAAAAAGCAAAATTCGAAGGAATAACGGGAAGCGTTGGCTTTGTCGTTCTATTTGTGTTTTGTAGCTGTTGTGGATAAAACACAACTGTGCACATACAGCATATCTCAACCTCTGCAGGGCTATAGGATGATACACCTTCTTTAGTATCGCTGTTGCTCACTGGCTCTTGTTTTTCCACAAGCACATCTTTCAACTCCACCCCTCCCACTGCCCAGCCTCCCCAAGCACTCAGGACTCTGAGCACACTGTGTGATTTTCCATTACCAGCATTACATACCTTATGATTTCTGGAAATGTGAAACTTTATGGTGTATACCACAGGGAAGCCATCGTACATGCATATGTGAAACAAATAGAGTGAAACAGAGGGAGGGTTTCTGCTTATGTGTCTCCTCCATGCTTGCAAAGCACAGAGAAGAGTGCATGTGGGACATCCTCTCTTCCATTTCTCTTTATTTTTGGTCACATCTGTCCTCTGGGAAGCCACATATGCTCCTCAATTTCCTCTGCCTTCAGCCTGCAGCTGAAACACACTGTCCGACGACCCCCAATGCTCAGTTGAAGAGCATTCTCAGTTCCAGTCAAATAGCTTAGCTGCGATAAAATCATGTCTCCAAAGTTACAGGAATGTTAAGATTTTACCTATTGGTGATAAGCTAAAATCCAAAAAGAGGATGCACAAACACACTGATCAGTAATCTGAGCTCTCAGGTTTATATCCCCCTCCTCGTCCCTTCTGACCTCTACATCGCTTCCTATCTTGCCTCATGCTGTGTCTCCTCATCCCCATGTTGAAGTTTACAGTAAGCTGCAGCCTCATTATTCTGCTGCCTGCAGCTCTAGGGTTAGGCCTCCCCCTTTCTGTCTTTATGATGAGCATCTGGATAGCACATGCTTGCTCAGGCCTCAACTTCACACCCCAGCATTCCCCCGCCCTATCGCTCAATATATGTTTATTAATTCTTCCTGTGTCTCTAATCTCAGTGCATGAGACATCTGTCCTCATAGACATGTGTGAGTCCCTCTTGTCACCTGTAGTTGATCATTGCTCAACCTTACACTAGTCCTTATCCTGTGCTGTAGCAGCTGGTGTAGAATATTACCAGTGACATTACAGTTCAGATAAACAAGACTAGAAATCCAAAATACTCTTGGATGACGTGTATCTTAGCATAAATTGACAGAGTATCCTTTCTTCAATCTAAGAAACGCTCTAGTTTTAGCATCGCATCTACCCAACAAATACCAACCAATTCAGCAAACATCTGTCTGTATGTGGAACACATATCTCTCAAACTGTTTGGCCTGTGTATTCTCAAATGTCCAGGAAAGTGTAGTGCCAAGTTTGGACGTGTGATGCATTCAATATTACTGAAAATTGAATAAACAAGCGACCGGGGCTCTGTAACTGTTTGGATCATTTTGATAATTTGATT